GTAGTAGTTATATTGAATGTATATAGTTGAGAGATAGTGGTTGTATTGAATATATGTAGTTGAAAGGTAGTAGTTATATTAAATGCATGTAGTTGAGAAGCCATATCCAAAGGCCTATAAATTGAACATGTATCACTCATTGCAAACACACCAAGTGATAAAATACAGAGTGTTTTATTTAGATACTTGTTTGACAACAAATTGGCATCAGAACTTGAGTGTCTGAGTGCGTTAGAGAGAGTGTTTGAGAGTTAGAGAGTTTGTTCGAGATGACCAACTTAGCTAACAGCATGCCCCTGCCAAAGTTATCGAAAGACGTAAGCTATGATAACTGGAGCCTGCAAATGGAGGCTCTCCTTGGTTCCTAGGAAGTATGAGATGTGGTTAAAAATGGGCACCAAGGACCAGAGAATATTGAAGAGCAGACAATTGCCCAGCTTGCTGCATTGAGAGCAACACGAGTAAAGAACAAAACAGCTTTGTACGTGCTGTACCGAGTTGTTGATGAGTCCGACTTTGAGAAGATAGCAAATGCTAAATCTTCAAAAGAAGCGTGAGATATTCTGGAGAATGCATATAAAGGGGATAATCGCATGAAGCAAGTCAGACTTCAAACTCTTAGAGGCGAGCTTGAAAACATGAGGATGAAAGAGGTCAAAGGGGTTGTCGAGTACATCTCCCGTGTTGAGACCGTGGTGAATCAACTCGGAAGAAATGGAGAGATGCTGCCCACTTGCCGAGTGGTGGAGAAAATCGTAAGGTCGTTAACTGACGATTTTGAGAATATCGTTTGTGCAATAGAAGAGTCCAAGGACTTGTCGGTGCTCTCGGTGGAAGAGCTTGTCGGGTCGCTTGAAGCGCATGAGCAGCGGAGAAGAAAGAAGAAAGAGGAATCCCTTGATCAAGCACTCCAAGCAAAGACAACCTTAAAGGAGAAGAATGTTGCTTATGCTCAGAACACTCAAGGCCGAGGTGGTAGAGGCAGAGGAGAATATGAAAGAGACAAGGAGCAAGTCAGTCAACAAAACTGGCGTGGCCGAAGACAAGGTAGAGGTCGTGACGGTAGAGGCCGAGGTGGTCAGTCAAGCAATTCTGGAGTTGAGTGCTTCAAATGTGGGAAGTACGGTCATTTTGCTAACGACTGCTATTCAGGTATCAAATGTTATAATTGTGGGAATGTTGGACATTTCGCGAAGGATTGTCGATCTGAGAGGAAGAAGGAGACAAACCTCCTCTCTGAGGACACTAAGGAAGAAAGAGTATTGATGATGTCGAGAAGTTCAGATGTCGAGCTAAGTCTGAGCTGTTCTGACAACTCGGTTTGGTATCTTGATACAGGAGCAAGTAACCACATGTGCAGGGACAAGAACCTTTTTAAGGAGCTCACTAAAGTTGAGGTCGGACACGTGTCATTTGGAGATGCATCAAAGATGGCAGTAAAAGGCAGAGGTACAATCTGGTACCTGCAGAAGAATAACCGAGTTGGAGAAATCAGAGACGTGTACTATGTACTCGATCTCAAAATCAACATATTGAGCATGGGCCAGCTGATGGAGAAAGGCTACTCGGTTTTGATGAAAGACCGAGTACTATACTTGAAGGACAAGTCGGATCGTTTGATTGCTCGAGTAGAAATGAAGAAGAACAGAATGTACAAGTGAACTTGAAGATAGTCCAAGAGAGGTGCTTGAAACTTGACGTGAATGATGAAACAATGATGTGACACTTTCGGTTTGGCCACTTGCATTTTGGCGGGCTAACCGAGTTGGTAAAGAAAGAGATGGTGCGATGACTCCCGTCTATGGAATTTGAAAAGAAATTCTGTGAAGAGTATGTGCTCGGGAAGCATCCGAGGACCTCATTTCCGAGGATGACCGAGTACCGTGCAAAGGAATAACTCGGAGTGATTCACACAGATCTTTGTGGACCGGTTACCCCTGAGTCCTTCAGTGGGAAAAGGTATTTCATTTCTTTTATAGATGATTTTTCAAGAAAAACCTGGGTATATTTTTTGAAGGAGAAATCCGAGGTGTTTGAGGTGTTCAAGAGATTTAAAGCAATGGATGAGAAAGAGACTGGCATGCCTATCAAATCTGTTAGGTCTGATCGAGGAGGCGAGTTCATTTCATCCGAACTCATGAAGTATTGCGAGGAGCAAGGGATAAGGAGATTTCTAACAGCATCATACTCACCCCAACAAACGGAGTTGCGGAGAGGAAGAATCGAACCATTCTTGACATGGTTCGAACAATGTTGAGAAGCAAAAACGTGTCAAAGGAGTTCTGGGCAGAAGCAGTGCAATGTGCCATCTATGTGCAAAATAGATGTCCACATGCTAAGTTGAACGAGAAGACACCGCAAGAAGTCTGGAGTGGAAGAAAACCGAGTGTGTCTCACCTTAAAGTGTTCGGTAGCATAGCTTATGGTCATGTTCCAGCTCAACAGAGGACCAAGCTCAAAGATAGAAGCAAAAAGTACGTGTTTATTGGGTATGATGAAAAAATCAAGGCGTACAGGTTGTTTAACCCAATAACTAAGAAGGTCATCATGAGCCGAGAAGTTCAAATTGATGAAGAAAACGAGTGGAGTTGGAACAACTCGAAGAAGGAGTCCATAGGAAGTAGAAGCTCAGAAGTTGATACACCACATACTGTGAGAGATCATGAGACTTCTGATGAAGAAGATGAACCTCTACAGCCCAGAGCGCGAAGTTTACAAGATATATACAACTCCACTGACGAAGTGCATGTTGTATGTCTCTTGACAGATTCAGAAGACTTAAGTTTTGAAGAGGCCGTGCAGGAGAAAAGATGGAAAAATGCAATGGATGAGGAGATCGGGCAATAGAACGCAACAACACATGGAAGCTGACTGATTTGCCCAAAGGAGTGCGGCCTATTGGCGTAAAGTGGGTGTACAAGAAGAAAACAAATACTGAAGGAGAAGTTGAGTGATATAAAGCTCGACTCGTAGTGAAGGGGTACAAGCAGAAGGAAGGAATAGACTATGACGAAGTATTCGCCCCAGTGACGAGAATGGAAACAATTAGGCTGCTGATTTCCTTAGCAGCTCAACACAGATGGACAATCTTGCAGATGGACGTGAAGTCGGCATTTCTGAATGGAATCTTGAAGGAGGAAGTATATGTTGAACAACCACTCGGATACATGCGAAGAGGCGAAGAGAAGAAAGTGCTGAGATTGAAGAATGCACTTTATGGCTTGAAACAAGCTCCACGAGCATGGAATGAAAGAATTGACACTTACTTCAAAAGGAATGGATATGAGCAGTGTCCTTATGAACATGCTCTATACATAAAGAAGAAAGGAGAAGATGTGATGTTTGTTGCCCTATATGTTGATGACCTTATCTTCATGGGGAATAATGCCGAGCTGATTGAAGAGTTTAAAGAAGTGATGAAGAAGGAGTTTGAGATGACTGACTTGGGTCTTATGAAGTATTTTCTTGGCTTAGAAGTTGTTCAGGGAAAGGATGACATCTTTGTGTCGCAGGAAAGGTATGCTGAGGAGGTCTTGAAGAAGTTTAAGATGACAAGTTGTAACCCGGTTTCCACCCCTATGGAACCTAGTACAAAACTTTCTAAGTATGCAAATGGAAACCGAGTTGATGCGAGCAAATACCAAAGTCTGATTGGAAGTCTTAGGTATCTTACAAATACCAGACCAGATTTAATGCTAAGTGTTGGAATAGCAAGTCGATATATGGAGGAGCCAAGGTATACTCATTGGAAGGAACTAAAGAGAATTCTAAGGTATGTGAGAGGAATAGTATCACTTGGCCTAATGTATACTAGGACGGATGATTATCAACTAGTAGGCTACTCGGATAGTGACTGGTGTGGAGATGTTGATGACCGGAAAAGCACGTCTGGATATGTATTCTTCAGGAGAAACACAACATTCACCTGACTTTCAAAAAAGCAGTCCATTGTAACGTTGTCAACTTGTGAAGTCGAGTACGTTGCAGCATCCTGGAGTGTCTGTCATGCAGTTTGGCTTAGAAACCTTCTAAGCAAGTTGGAGTTGAAGCAAGAAAAAGGGACTGTGATTCGAGTTGATAACAAGTCGGCAATTGAATTGGCAAAGAACCCGGTCAATCATGAGAGAAGCAAACATATTGATGTTCGGTTTTACTTCATCCGAGAACAAGTGAAAGAAGGAAATGTAGAGTTAGAGTACGTCGGAACCCGAGCACAAGTTGCAGATATGTTCACGAAGCCACTGCCAACCACTCTGTTCGAGAACAGCAAGAAGATGCTTGGAATAAAGGACAAGAAAAACATTTAAGTTTATGGGAGGATTTTGTTAGGTAAACATTAAATGCATGTAGTTGAGAGGTAATGGTTATAGAGGTAGTAGTTGAGAGGTAGTAGTTATATTGAATATATGTAGTTGAGAGATAGTGGTTATATTGAATATATGTAGTTGAAAGGTAGTAGTTGTATTAAATGCATGTAGTTGAGATGTCATATTCAAAGGCCTATAAATTAAACATGTATCATTCATTACACACACACCAAGTGCTTTATTTAGATACTTGTTGGTCAACACTAACAACATTGTTTTGTTATCATCTCTTTCTCTGAATTTTCCATCTCTTAAGATCCTTGATCTCTCTTTTAATAATCTAACATCACCACTATTCCAAGGTCATTTTAATTTCCCCTCGAGACTACATGAGCTTCATCATCTCTTTCTCTGAATTTTCCATCTCTTAAGATCCTTGATCTCTCTTTTAATAATCTAACATCACCACTATTCCAAGGTCATTTTAATTTCCCCTCGAGACTACATGAGCTTCATCTACAAAACTGTAGAATTACAGATAGAAGTTTTATTCTTTCGTCTGCTTCCACATTGAATTCTTCGTCTTCTCTTCTCTACCTTGATCTCTCCAATAACTTGTTGAATTCACCTGCTATGTTTTACTGGCTTTTTAACCTCACCACAAATCTTCATACCCTTTACCTTCACGATAACATGTTAGAAGGTCCCATTCCAGATGGATTTGGAAAAATAATGAACTCTCTTGAATTACTTGATCTCTCTGGTAACAAACTACAAGGCAAGATTCCGTCTTTCTTTGGGAACATGTGCAGATTGCAGGGCTTATACCTCTCAAATAACAACTTGAAAGGGGAAATTTCTTGCTTAATTCAAAATTCTTCATGGTGCAACAGAGACGAACTTCGGACTTTGGATTTATCTTATAACCAAATTACTGGCAAGATACCTGAAAGCATTAGATTGCTATCCGGGCTGGAGGATTTATCCTTGGAGGGAAATTCTTTAGAGGGTGATGTCACTGAATCTCATCTTTCTAATTTTTCCAAATTGGAATACTTGCACTTATAATACAACTCGTTGTCTTTAAAAATTGTCTCTGGTTGGATTCCTTCTTTTCAATTAAGTTACTTGGGTCTAGCATCTTGCAAGTTAGGTCCGAGTTTTCCTGGCTGGCTGCAGACTCAGAGTTCCTTAACGATACTAGATATATCCGATAATGGGCTTAATGAATCTGTACCAGTATGGTTTTGGAGCAAATTGCGAACCATGTACCAGTTGAATATGTCTCACAATAATCTCTTTGGTTCTATTCCTAACATAGCATTAAAGCTTCATGATAAACCGTCTATAATTCTGAGTTCAAATAAATTTGAGTACAAGGTTCCATCATTTTTGCGACAAGCTTCGCAGTTGTTACTCTCTCAAAATAAGTTTTCAGATTTGTCAGAATTCTTATGCAACCAAAGCACAACTGCAAATGTGGTCACTTTGGATTTATCAAAGAATCAAATGACGGAACTTCCTGATTGTTGGAAATTTGTAGACCCGCTGCGGTCTCTTGATTTAGGAAACAATATGTTGTCAGGAAATATTCCTATGTCCATGGGCAACCTGTTTTATTTGCAAGTCTTAGTTTTACGAAACAACAGTTTAACCGGTGAATTGCCTTCTACTTTGAAGAATTGTAGCAATTTAATTATGTTAGATGTGGGTGAAAATATGTTGTCTGGTCCAATACCCACATGGATTGGTGAAAGCATTCAACAATTGATAATCTTGATCATGCAAGGAACCATTTCTCTGGAAATCTCCCAAATCAACTATGTCATTTAAGCCATCTTCAACTGTTGGATCTTTCTAGGAATAAGTTGTCAAAAGGAATTCCAACATGCTTAAAGAGTTTTATTGCTATGTCTGAAAGGAGCATCAACCGAAGTGAAACCCTAAGTCGTATTGGTGGTTATAATATGACTACCTATGAAATATATGATTTTATGGCTGTTGGTGGTTTTAAATTTGACATAACATGGATCTGGAAAGGTATGGAACAGGAGTTCCCAGATCCCCAGCTGAAACTTCAGAGTATTGATATGTCATGTAACAATTTAACTGGTGAAATACCAAAAGAGGTTGCATATTTGCTTGGGCTAAAGTCTTTGAATTTATCAAGAAACAATTTGATTGGAGAAATTCCTTCTGTGATTGGAAATTTAAGTTCACTTGAATCCCTCGACTTATCAGGAAATCAATTCTATGGGAAAATTGCTTCTTCTCTTTCTCAAATTGATTTTCTAGGAAAGTTAGACTTGTCACATAACTCACTCTCTGGAAGAATTCCATCGGGGAGACACTTGGATACATTTGATTTCTCTTGTTTTGAAGGAAATGTTGATCTTTGTGGGGAACAACTTAACGAGAGTTGTCCGGGAGATCATACATCATCAGTAGCAGTCCATGGAGAAGATTCTGGTTTCTATATGAAGCATTTTACATGAGTTTGGCGATAGGATATTTCACTGGATTTTGGGGCTTAATAGGGCCATTACTTGTTTGTCAACCTTGGAGACATGCTTACTTGAAGTTCTTGAACAAATTGACAAACCAAATAATGGCGGCGGTGAATGGGCCATAGTTGTTCCCGTGGCTGCTCAAAGCTAGGTTAGAAGGTATGTTATAGCTTTTATTTTTAATATTCATGGTTTATACAGCTTCTAATATTTAATAGAGCAAAATCTGTATTCTAAACTTAATGTCCATATCGGTTCCTATATTGAAACTGCCTAGTTTGATTCTGAAATAGTGAATTCCCAACTTTTGCTCTCATTATAAAATCCGCTTCATACGTATTTTCAAGGATAGTGATAAGCTTCTGAAATCACTTCAGTTTTTCAGTCACCATTTATTTTCTTTTTCTTCCACCGACACTTTTTAATTGATTTTCTCTTGTATTTTATTGTACTACACTGTTTCAGCATGTACGAATTCCTTGAATTATGATTAATGCGGGTAACAACGAATTTCTCGTAGAATTGTATATTACTATTCTCTGTTATATGTTAAACGAGGAATACAATAATATGCATAGAAACATAATTTTTGTAATGAAAATAAAGTAAAAAATTGTTTTCAGACTAAAAAAAATAAATAAGAAAGATAAAAGAAAAAACTAATGAATTTCAAAAATTTTCTTTCACCAAAATACAAAGCATAATTTTAGGATATTCTTATAAATAATAACTATCCAAAATATTACTAATATCAAAATGTTTCAAATAACTCCAAATTATCTTCTTATTATCTTTTTAACAAACTCGAAAACTAATTATTTAATTTTATTTCCAAAAAAATTCCACCTTAAAATCAAACTTATTCAGCAAAAACTGAGATCAGATTGATACCGATATCCCAAATCTCGACTTATTGTCTTCAACACTTCTTTGTATTTTGAATCATATGATTGCAAGATACCGACCACTCTCGACTAGTTTCAAAATTTCTTGAGTTTCAAAACATGAGATCGGTACGACACCGATCATCTATTTGTTATACTTCAAAACTTCTAGGGCTCCAAGCTTTCGAGTTTCCTTGTAGTCGACTTGTCATCTTCACGAGTATCTCAAGTTTCTTTCATCCTTTATCCCGATCATCCACATCTTCACACTAATAATTGCTTATGGGGGTTGATACCAAATAGAAATCGATCATCTTGATCTTATTCAAGATCACCTTTGCATACACCTCTTGGGACAAACATATTCCTGACTCATCCTCATCTTTCTCAACATACACCTCCTTGAGCACACCATTTAGAAATGTTGACTTCACATCCACCTGCTTCATTCCAACAGCTTGATCATAGCTCAGTAATTTGATCATCACTAACATGTCATTCTGTTCTCGGATCTTCTCATCCATAAGAGCTCAATTTTTCTCTTCAACTACAGCTTGGACCTTCTTGTCCACAACAGTTCAGATCTTCTCCTCAATTTCAACTCGGATATTCTCCTCTTCAAGAACAGTTCAAACTTTCCCTTCTACAAGAGCTTAGACCTTATTGTCAACAATAGCTTTGACCATTTTGTCCACAACAGGACATGGTTACTAACCACTCATTCACAAACTTTTCCCTTCATGCTCGACAATCCGAGCATCACACAAACTTTCCCCTCCATGTTTGGCAATCCGAGCACCATGCTCTTCATGTTTTTCTTCAACTTCACGGTTCTTCCTTTAATCTCGGTTTCCGAACTAGCTACTACTGGTGGTATAGCAGCTCAACTACTTTTTGAGGTAACAACAATTGGTGTTGCATCAACTCAGTTTGCAACTCGTCATTTCTCATCATGCACAACCTCCTTCTCTTCTTTCGAGCTGATAACATAAAACACATCTTGGATTGATCTGACTCAACCATCCTTCTGCAGATAGTCCATTGAGCATTGGCCTTTTACTGAGAATCTTGAAGCATCTCCAAATGAAACATGATCACCCATAAATTTCTCCAATTTGCTAAATAGGTGTTTGTCCCCACACATGTGATTACTCACACCCGTATCTAAAAATCATACCGACCTGTGATCGGTATTAGACCGAACACCATCACTGCAATCTGCTCCCAAGTGTAACTCCGAATGGTGATCGGCCATCAACAATGTTACTCCAGTTTCCTCCTCCTCTACAAGATAGGTCTCACCTACCTTTTGACATTATTTCGCATAATGCCCCTCCTTTCCATAATTAAAGTATTTTCTCGAGTAGCAATCATTCGCATAGTGACCATACTTGTCACACTAAATACTTTATATCTGAGTGGTTCGTTGACCGACCTCCTCTCGTACCACGTCCTCTTCCTCTCCAATTTTGTTGAGTCCCCTCTTCCTTCTCATCCCCTCGATCATCGAATCTGCCTCAACCTCCTTGGTCAGATCGTCCACCTCGGGATCGACTACCACATCCTCTTCTTCTATTATTATGAGAATACAACATCTTCTCTTCGATCTAGAGTACTTTCACACTCATGTCCTCGACCTTCTTATTTTTCTTTATTTGATGTTCATAGGCTTGAAGAGATCCGATCAACTCTTTTACTGATAGGTTGAACAAATCTTTTGTTTGTTCTATTACACACACCATGCTATTAAATGATTGACTTCAAGATCTTTTCAACGACTTGTTATATGGAAAATACCTATTAATTCTCATTAAATTGTTTTGCCACGTTTTCAACACGCATAACATATTCAAAAACTTTTTCCGACCCCTTCATCTTCATGCTCTCCATCTCACTTTGTAGTATCTGACATCTAATCCATGTTACTCAGTCATCGTCCATGTGCTCCTTCCCCAACTTGTCCCACACTCCTTTTGCAGATTTATCATTTTTTATCTTTAGGAAATCGGTGTCTTCTATAGCTCGAAACAATGTGAACAGAGTTGCATGGTCCTTTTCGCGATTCTTGTTGAGTTCTCTGAGTACATTGAGTGTCAAATCTTTCATATTTTCTGGTTCTACAAAACTTTTCTCTACTATTCCCCAATAGCTACGGGCTTTTAGGAAAGCCTTCATCTTGATACTCCAATTCTCCTAACCAATCTCCTTGGTCAGTTGGGGCACAACAGTAGTATTTGCCTGACTGACCATCTCTCTTTTGACACTCAAACCCTAACTCTCACTTTTCTAAAGAACCCTAGTTCTTTCGGGAAAAAGCCTTAGCTCTTCTCAGAAAAAAACCCTAGCTCCTCTAAAAAATAAAACTTAATTTTTCTTAGAAAAAAAAACTTAGCTCTTGATACAAATTTGATAATAAAGAATTTCTCATAAATTATAAAATTGTATATTATTGATTCTCTGTCATACCTCAAATGAAGAATACAATGTTGTATTTATACACAATCCTAGGATATTCTCAAAATTAAATAATAAATATCCAAAATATCACTAATATCAAAATGTTCCAACTAATTCTTAATTATCTTCTTATTATCTTTTTATTCCAACAAACTCTAAAACTAATTATTTAATTTTACTCCTTACAATGCATCTCAGGTGATGGAAGTTATTTGTTACTCAAATTCTCACAAATTAACCCATTACTTTCCAGTTTGGAAATAGTTACTTGATAGTTGAATTCAGAGAAATTAACTTGATTTAGCTAGAAAGTTTTCTGTAATGTTTGAAGATTCTGAATGTTTCTGAAGCTGTCCTTTTAACTGCTACTTATTTTAAATTATGTGCTTGAATATATTTGAAATCATTTCCACTGAATGTTATGCTGCAGGAAACTATGAGCAGCAGCTATCCCTTATTTGTTAGGTGGGAGGATGATTGGTTAGTATGAGTTTTTCTGTAATGTATGTTCAATATGAGAGCTGTTTTGAAAGGTTTCTGGGAGTGAATTTCTTCATGGTTGCTGGGAGTGAATCCCATTTACACTGCTGATGCACCAGTTCAGAGAGATGTTTTGAAAGGTTTCTTAGAGACAAATATCAAACTTTCAGAAACTTGTTCACCTTCACATTACAGGTTTCATTGTACGAAAGAAGTTAGTGCAAGACATACTAGAAAGATTCAGTCTTGGGGATGTATTTGTAATGGAGAATCTGTTTAGTTTTGATTTATCACCTACTAAATTTTTTCTTCAAATCGGATACTTCATTAAGTTTTCTATCTAATAGAATGGATTAGATAAGAAAAAATTTTGAAGTTTCTGGATTAGATTGATTTCCCTTTCATTTTTTATTTTTTTTGTGGGTCATTGGTGTGATAATTTTCTAACCCATAAAATGGATCAGAATAGGAAGACCATCAATTTCACTTCATTTTTGATTGGTATTCCACCACACATATACATTAGAACATTTTGCACAAGTTTCATTTTTTCCTCCCTTCAAGTGTCTTATGTGTTTCATTTTCTAACTTGTAAAATGGATTCGATTTTTCATTTTTCCTCTTTTCAAGTGTAATGATGTACATAATTTTCTAACCCATAAAACGGATTAGAACAATTTTGTGTTTTCTTGGGACTTGTATTTTCTCTTTTGTCATTGGTGAGCTAATTTTACAACCATGGAATATAGTGGATTAAGAAGGTCAATATTTTAAGAAATTTTAAAATAATATGCATATCATGTGAACAAAGTGTAGTTTCTATTATTCTCTATCGTTTTCTACATTGCAAAATAAGTTAGACAAATGAAAAAACAACAAACATCATGTCAACATTGCTCAATACATATGATATGCTAATTTTTGTTTTATATATTTGTTTCTGCCTATCAACATAATATGCATGAATTGATACATGAATTAATAATATACGTTCTTAAAGTTGAATGGAATTTAGCTTAATTTAATTCTTTATTTGTTTTAAAAAAGTTTAGATAATACTGGACATATACATTCCATAAGCATAATTATTTAACATTTACATCAATGTTTTTATAGCAAATGCAAATCCCAATAGTACAGGTTCCTTATTATCCTACCATGAATATTAATCATTACATAGGTTTAGAATGACCCATCTTTTCTCTAAAAATGTTAGTGTATGAATCAACATCATTTTCTTAAACATTTATAATAATATAAATTTGCAAAAACAAATAATCATATAAAATCATTCATTTCATACAAGATTCGTTATGCCGTACTCGTATGCATCTCTTCCCATAATTCACAATACAATAATATGACTACTTAGTGTTCCTAGAATCCCTCAAAATGTTGTCAAAAGTGTCTCTCTAGTCATTACTTGTTTTATGCGAGTACAGAAAGTTGATAATTAGCAACACACATTAAATGATAAGCATAAGTGACTGAGATAAGGTTAACTTGTTCATGATAGAATTGGATGATATAGACCAAAGAAGGTTAACTTGTTTATTTAATGATTTTTTGCTTAACTTTACTAGTTACACCCATTCAATATTCAATATGTAAGCAATATGAATTATAAAATATTTGTATATATTTGATGATGAAATTACAGAGTGTTACAATTACCAATGTTGACGGAAAACACAATATTTTTATATACTCTGGATAGGACTTCAGTTTTTATGTATTTTTATACTTATATTATATTGTAGAGTAAATACACCAAAATGGACCACTTCCATTTTCTTTCAAGTGGCTACCATGTTTAATTTTCTAAACCCATAAAATGGATTGGAATAGGATAATTAATAGCTGTAGGTCTTTGCACTACTTTCATTTTCTTCTTTTTCAAGTGTCAACATACTTAATTTCTCTTTAGTTTTCCACATTGTAATTTAAGTTAGAAAAATTAGAAAACAACAAACATCCATGTCCACGTTGATCAATACCTATGATATGCTATTTTTTGTTTTATATATTTGTTGCTGCTAATCAAAATAATATGCATTCATGCATGAATGAGTATATTTTTAAAATTAAATTAATTTGTATTTAATTTGATTCTTTACTTATTTAAATAAATAGATTTTTCAATAAGAATTTCACATATTGTTTATGCATAACAAACTGAAAAATATATATTAAAAAGGAGAAATTACAGTCCCTCTTTAATTAAAAAATTGAGTAAAAAAAATGTAATTAATGGTTGTGTAGTTGGAAAGGTTGTCATTAAAAAACGTTTGAAGTTAATGACAATTTTATGACGACATCATTCCATTACGTAGAGATATCCTAGTTGTGATACGTATAAATAAGTTTATTATATATGATTTAATATAAGTAGGTATAAATAAAAGCGGGAATAAAATTATTATTATAATATTATAAAAGAGGTGAATTTCTTTGTTAAAATTAGAATATAAGGTTAATTTTTTAAGAGTTTTTGTATTGGCTGAGATTAAAGTTAATGGTCCTATATATACATTTGAGACTTTCAATTTTATAAAACCACCACCCGTCCGTACGATTATCAGTATAAATGATGGCATCGACCTTTCTAAACATCACAGAGAAAGAAAAAGAAAAAACTCAATCATAATTTTTCTCTCTATACTCTTTTTTACTCTCCTCTTGGTTAAGATTATTTGGCATCATAAACACTACAATGAGTGCTTATTTTCTCAGAACATTTTATGTTCTTCTCCTGCTTTTGTTGCATACCTCAGGAATCGTTGCGGCATTCAACAGCTCAAGTGAAAGTATGGAAGCAAAGTGCAAAGAGAGGGAGAGGCAAGCACTCCTCAGCTTCAAACAAAGCCTCGTAGATGACTCTGCCATGCTGTCTACTTGGACTGACGTTCACAGAGATTGCTGCAAATGGAAAGGCATTCAGTGCGACAATCAAACTGGTCATGTACGTGTACTTGACCTTCATGGCAACCATGACTTTGAACTGTATTTTGGTGGTGATATCAATTTCACTTCATTGATTCACTTGCAATATATTCAACATCTGGATCTCAGCAATAATCAGTTTTTAAGTTACATACCAGAGTTTATAGTCTCCTTCACCAACTTAAGATTTCTCAATCTCTCCAACTCCGATATTTTGGGGAGGATTCCTTCTGAACTTGGAAATCTTTTACAACTACGCTATCTGGATCTTGGGGATAATTATCTTTGGGGAGAAATTCCTGTTCAGATTGGGAATCTCATACACTTACAGTATCTCGATCTTGGAGGATTTTATCTTTCCGGAAAAATCCCATGTCAAATTGGGAATCTCAGAAAGCTACAATATCTCAGTCTTGGAAGTAACACTTTTCTAAATATAAATAGTATGGGAGATTATGTTTCAAACACCCTTTCTGGAGGAATCCCTTTTCACATCGGGAATCTTCCATTCTTGCATACTCTTCGATTAGGTGGCAATTTTGATATAAAAGCTGAGGATGCACAGTGGCTGTCTACACTCCATTCCTTGACAATTCTTGAGCTGAGTTCAGTGCATAAGCTTGGCTCCTCTCACCAGTGGCTACAAACCATTAGTAAGCTCATTCCAAACTTGAAAGAGTTGAGGCTAATTGATTGTAATCTTTTCGATAATGATATTCAATCTTTGTTTCATTCTCCTTCTTCTAACTTTTCCACTTCTCTTACCATCCTAGATCTCTCTTCTAATATGTTGACATCATCATCAACACTTCAACTCCTGTTTAACTTTAGCCTTCATCTTCAAGAGCTTCATCTTTCTTATAATAATTTTGCTTTCTCACCTTCTCTACGTCCAGATTTTCCATCTCTTAAGATCCTCGACCTCTCTTATAGTAGTCTAACATCATCGATGTTTCTAGCTAATTTCAGTGTCAGCTCCAAACTACAAAAGCTTCATCTAAGAAACTGCAGTCTTATAGATAGAAATTTCCTTGTTTCATCTAGTTCTACGATGAATTCTTTGTCTTCTCTTCAATACCTTAATCTCTCCAACAACTTGCTAAAATCATGCTCTATATTTCACTGGCTTTCTAACTTTACTACCAATCTGCATACCCTTCTACTTCCTTTTAATTTCTTAGAAGGTCCCATTCCAGATGATTTTGGAAAAGCGATGAACTCTCTTGAATTTGTTTACCTCTTCAATAACAAACTTCAAGGCAAGGTTCCGTATTTCTTTGGGAGCATGTGCAGATTACAGACCATAGACCTAGAAAATAACAGGTTGAATGGCGAATTTTCGAGCTTCATTCAAAACTCTTCATGGTGCAACATACACATGTTACGGATATTAAGATTATCTCACAACCAAATTACTGGCAAGATACCCCAGAGCATCAGCCTGCTATCAGAGTTGGAGCATTTATCCTTGGAGGGAAATTCTTTAGAGGGTGATGTCACTGAATCTCATCTGTCTAATTTTTCTAAATTAGAAGTCTTATTCTTGTCACACAACTCGTTATCTCTAAAATTTGGGTCTAGTTGGATGCCACCTTTTCGATTATGGTCCTTGGGTCTTGCATCTTGCAAGCTAGGTCCCAACTTTCCTAGTTGGCTGCAGACTCAAAGCTCCTTAATCCAGCTGGATATATCTGATAATGGGCTTAATGATTCCGCACCGGAATGGTTTTGGAACAAGTTGCAAAATATGTGCGAGTTGAATATGTCTCACAATAATCTCGTTGGTTCAATTCCTAATATTCAATTGAAGCTTTTTTGCAGACCGTCTATAAATTTAAATTCAAATAAATTTGAGGGAAAAGTTCCATCATTTTTGCTACAAGCTTCAGAGTTGTTACTCTCGGCAAATAAATTTTCTGATTTTTATTCATTCTTATGTGGAAACATCACAGCTACAAACTTGGCTACTTTCGATTTATCATATAATCAAATAAAGGGACAACTTCCAGATTGTTGGAAATATGTAGACCAATTATTGTTTCTTGATTTAAGCAACAATAAACTGTCAGGGAAGATTCCTATCTCCATGGGCAGCCTTGTTAATTTGGAAGCTTTGGTTTTACAAAACAATAGTTTAATGGGTGAATTGCCTTCCTCTTTGAAGAATTGCAACCATTTAATTATGCTGGATGTGAGTGAGAATATGTTGTCCGGTCCAATACCATCCTGGGTTGGAGAAAGCCTGCAGCAATTGATAATCTTGATCATGCGAGGGAATCAGTTCTCTGGAAATCTTCCCCTTCATCTATGTTATTTGAAGCGTATTCAATTGTTGGATCTTTCAAGGAATAAGTTATCAGAAGGAATTCCATCTTGCTTCAAGAATTTTACCGCATTGTCTGGAAAGAGCATCGATAGAATCGAAACTGAAAGACGTGTGCATTGGTACAATAGTACTTACTATGCCAATTATAGTTTTTTCAGTGATAATTATTATACGCTTCACGTAACATGGATATGGAAAGGTGTGGAACGCAACTTTACAAGTCCCGAATTGATTCTTCAGAGCATTGATCTCTCAAGTAACAATTTAACAGGTGAAATGCCAAAAGAGATTACATATATGATTGGGTTAGTTTCTTTGAATTTATCAAGAAACAGTTTGAGTGGAGAAATTCCTGCTGACATTGGGAATTTAAATTCACTTGAATTTCTTGACTTATCAAGAAATCAATTCTTCGGGAGAATTCCTTCTTCTATTTCTCAAATTGATTCTCTAGGAAAATTAGACTTGTCACATAACTCACTTTCTGGAAGAATCCCATTGGGAAGACACTTGGATACATTTGATGCTTCTTGTTATGAAGGAAATATTGATCTTTGTGGTAAACCTCTTGAAAAAAGGTGCCCTGGAGATGAGAGAGTGACAAAGTGTGAAGGAGGAGAAGTGCATGATGAAGGTGATGATTCAGCATTGTATGGAGCATTATACATGAGCTTAGGGCTGGGATTTTTGACAGGCTTCTGGGGCTTATTAGGGCCATTACTAGTTTGGGAAGCATGGAGAATTGCTTACATGAGGTTCTTGACCAGACTGACAGACTATATTCTTGTAATGGTTGAAGTGAAGATAGCAAAGTGCCAAAGGTGGTTCAAACACTAGCAGGTACGTAATTCTAATAACTTCTTTCTTTAAACTTCATCGTATTACTATTTATTTCCCTCATTCAGTTAAGTGTAAATCAATAGGTCGATTCTGTATTGAAAAGGAGAATCCCTGTAGGAAAAAAATGTACATGGCATGAATTCAATGTTACACAAATGATATTTAGAGGGTAAATAGATGTATAAATTAAATTAGATATTAAAATAATTTATTAATTTAATTTTAATTATCATATAAATAAATGTTTGAGTCTTAAATATTATTGACTTGAATCATCGTCAAAATCATCTCTTGAGAATATAGGGACATATTTCACATTTTCACCCATCACTCCCTCAATGATTTCATCTAATTGTTAGCTCCAAAAACTACTTTCATAAATATAACTCTGTCAATCTTGAAAACAAAAGTCCTAACAAGTCTCTTTCTAGATACTCTGTAAATGTAATTTACTCTTGATGGAAGAAAAAAATTGCCTATTGCATAACTGACATTGGAAACAGGTCATTTGCTGCAACCTCTAATTTTGCACTTTCATTTGCTATAATTAATCTCAAATTAAAGGTTATTTAATATTAGTTTTTGATGTAGAATAAGCTTATTAGAAGTATATAAGAGATTGATAATTTAAATTTTGAGATGTACATTCTGATTTTCAAGTGCAAATTAAGTTATTGAACATTAATTGTTGAACAAAAAATTGCAGGTTTGCAGAAGTGGTACATACTTTTGATTGATCTGGGATGAATGAAAGCATAGTTGTTTGCTACAAGTTCAAGATATTTATTTAACATTACAGTTTACAATGTTTTTGTATATAATGTGTCACAAAATCTTTTTTACAGACACTTTCTATGATTGGATTGAGTTGTATTGCTTAATATATTTGTAATGTTGTTTCTTTCTAATTCAAGAGTGCTTAGAATTGTAAGTTCCAAAGTGTGATTATATATTTTATCTTCAACAACTCTTCAGCAAGTTTCGAAAATTGTTAGTCTTTTTAGAAATTTTATATAAAGACAAACCAAGTATTTCTCCATTGATACGTAGATGATAAACTCCATTGAAGTCACACACTCTGTTTGATTGATTAGTTTTATTTCTTGTTTTCAAAATATAATTTTAGAGATAATTTTAAAAAATTATTTTTAAAAATAAGTTAAAAAATGAATTTAATAGCTCTAATTTAAAAAAAAAAATTATGATGAAAAATAACAGAAGTTGAATAAAATCCATAACAATGAAGATGATACAGTACAATCATCTATGAAAATGTAAATATTATTAACGAAAATAAAAAGAATTAAAAAAATACATTTTATAATTTTTTTTAAGTTTTTAAAAACTAAAAAATAATATCAATTAATTTTTTATATAAAATAGTTATCAAATTCAACAATTAAAAGCTCAAAGTCTTTGAATTCATTTTCTTCTATACAAGTGTCTAGCATGCTTCATTTTCAAACCCATAATTCAAATATTAAGGACTTTGACCAGCTCCATTTTCTTCTCTCTCAAGTATCTAATATGCTTAGTTTTCTAACCCATACAATGGACTCAAGGAATTACTTTTCTGGACTAGTTCCATTTTTCCTCTTTTCACATCAATAGGCTTTAAGATTAGGACAAACAATAAATTGAAGTCTTTAAATAGTTTCATGTTTTTCCTTTTTTTTAGATGTATTATGCAGTTAATTTTCTAACCAAAAGATGGATTCGATTAGAACAATCTATAAACAATATTATCTTGTTTTTTAAAATTTTATTTTAATTTTTAAGAATTGAGTGACAATTTTTCACCACTTACCTTGAATAAAACTTCTCCAAGTGGCATGACTTTTTTATATTTTGTAAGTCTTCTGTCTCTTCACTCTCTCTTTTTTTCTTTCAACTTTTGACTTGATTCTTCTTTAAATACTCAGACTCCATCGCTCTCTGTTAATTTGTTTTGATTTTGTATTCATGGATTCATATTGTTTCATCACAAATATTTATACTTGTTTAAGCCATTAAATTTGACTCCAATAACAATTGATCAAAATATTTTTATTTCGTTCTTTTCTTAATATGTTTCATCATAATTCTCACACTTGTTTAAACAATTAAACTTGTATCCAGTAAACATTTCTACTAATTAAATCATAAATAAAACTCAATCTATAAAACAAATTACTTTTAAATTAAGAACGTATTTAAATATGTTATTAAATCTTATTGTAATAAACAAATTATTTCCAATTTAAGAACATATTTAACTATCATGTCGAATCTTATTACAACTTAATATTCGTGAATGCTTATATATTCTTCAAATTAAATTGATTTTAATTTAATTCCTTGCTTGTTTCAAATAAATAGACTTTTCATTTATCATTATATAAGTATTTATATTATGATAATGAAATAGAATTATGATAAGAGATTCATGAGAATTAGAAATTTATTAATCATCGGCCGTTATTTTCTTGTAATATAATTGATTAAGATAAGTTATTATTTTATCATCATTAAATTTAAAAAGGAAATAATGAGAATAAAGAATAATTTTTTTTTTATGAAATAAACTCTTGAGACTTTTTCTTTTGGAAAGCCACTAACCGTGCGTCCAATTATGAGTATAAATGTGGCATCGAGCTTTCTGAACATCACAGCGAAAGACAACAAAGTTGAATCATAATTTTTGTCTCTCTGGCAGTATACTACTCTGTTTACTCTGCACTTGGTTAAGAATATTTGATATCACAGAAACTAGTATGAGTGCTTATTTTATGAAAACATTTTATGTTCTTCTCCTGTTTATGTTGCATATCTCAGGAGTTGTTGTGGCATTCAACAACTCAAGTGAAAGCAGTGTACCAAAGTGCATAGAGATGGAGAGGCAAGCACTTCTCAGCTTCAAACAAAGCCTCGTAGATGATTTTGGCATGCTGTCTACTTGGAGTGACGATCACACAGATTGCTGCAAATGGAAAGGCGTTCAGTGCCACAATCAAACTGGTCTTGTACAGCTACTTGATCTTCATGGAAACTATAACTTTAGACCGTATTTGAGTGGTGCAATCAATTTCACTTCATTGATTCACTTGCAATATATCCAACATCTGGATCTCAGCGATAATTACTTTTCAGGGAGTTACATCCCACACTTCATGGACTCCTTCACCAACTTAAGATATCTAAATCTCTCCAATTCTTATTTTTCCGGGAGGATTCCTTCTGAACTTGGAAGTCTTTTACAACTACGCTATCTGGACCTTGGAAATAATTATCTTTGGGGAGAAATTCCTGTTCAGATCGGGAATCTCATACACTTACAGTATCTCGATCTTGGAGGATTTTATCTTTCCGGAAAAATCCCATATCAAATTGGGAATCTCATGAAGCTACAGTATCTCAATCTTGGAAGTTACACTCTTTCAAGTAACCTTTCTGGAGCAATCCCTTTTCACATCGGGAACCTTCCATTCTTGCATACTCTTCGACTAGGTGGCAATTTTGATATAAAAGCTGAGGATGCACAGTGGCTGTCTACACTCCATTCCTTGACAATTCTTGAGCTAAGTTCAGTGCATAAGCTTGGCTCCTCTCACCAGTGGCTACAAACCATTAGTAAGCTCATTCCAAACTTAAAAGAGTTGAGGCTAATTGATTGTAATCTTTTGGATTATGATATTCAATCTTTGTTTCATTCTCCTTCTTCTAACTTTTCCACTTCTCTTACCATACTAGATCTCTCTTCTAATATGTTGACATCATCATCAACACTTCAACTCCTGTTTAACTTTAGCCTTCATCTTCAAGAGCTTTATCTTTCTTGTAATAATATTGCGTTGGCACCTTCTCTATGTCCACATTTTCCATCTCTTAAGATCCTCGACCTCTCTTACATTAAACTAACATCCTCAGTGTATCTATCTAATTTTAATATCAGCTCCAAACTACAAAAGCTTCGTCTACAAAATTGCAGTCTTATAGATACAAGTTTCCCTGTTTCACCTAGTTATACAATGAATCCTTTGTCTTCTCTTGAATTCCTTGATATCTCCCGTAACTTGTTAAAATCAAGCTCTATATTTCACTGGCTTTCTAACATCACTACCAATCTTCGTACCCTTTACGTTCAAAACAATTTCTTAGAAGGTTCTATTCCAGATGCTTTTGGGAAAGCGTTGAACTCTCTTGAAATTCTTATTCTCTCCAATAACAAACTTCAAGGCAAGGTTCCGTCTTTCTTTGGGAGCATGTGCAGATTACAGAGCTTACACCTTGAATATAACAGGTTGAATGGCGAATTTTCGAGCTTCATTCAAAATTCTTCTTGGTGCAACAGACACACATTACGGACATTGCAATTATCTTACAACCAAATTACTGGCAAGATACCCGAGAGCATCAGTCTCCTATCAGAGTTGGAATATTTATCCTTGGAGGGGAATTCTTTAGAGGGTGATATCACTGAATCTCATCTTTCTAATTTTTCTAAATTAAAATACTTATTCTTGTCACACAACTCGTTGTCTCTAAAATTTGTGCCAAGTTGGATTCCACCTTTTCGATTAAGTTACTTGGGTCTAGCATCTTGCAATCTAGGTCCCCGTTTTCCTAGCTGGCTCCAAACTCAAAGTTCGTTAATCTTTTTGGATATATCTGATAATGGCCTTAATGATTCTGCTCCAGAATGGTTTTGGAATAATTTGCAAACTATACAGGAGTTGAATATGTCTCACAATAATCTCATTGGTTCAATTCCTAATCTTCAATTGAAGCTTCCTTACAGACCATCTATAAATCTAAATTCAAATAAATTTGAGGGGAAAGTTCCACTATTTTTGCTACAAGCTTCAGAGTTGTTACTCTCAGCAAACAAATTTTCAGATTTATTTTCATTCTTATGTGAAAACATCACAGCAGCAAACTTGGCAACTCTAGATTTATCATATAATCAAATAAAGGGGAAACTTCCAGATTGTTGGAAATCTGTTGACCAATTATTGTTT